TTTTTTCAAGTGTATACATTTTTTCGTTCTTATTGATTTTTCACATTCATATGAAGTAGTCAATTCAACTTGCTCACATCATTAAAAATATATATATATATCGTCATATCGTCACAAACAGAACTGCCCGGTAAACCGTAGGCAGAGAGAGAGAAGAGGACAACAAACGAGGGGCTGTGACAAACTGTTTCGTCGGAGTTTCACCGACTCATCAGGAGGCTGAACCCTCAACAGTCTNGCTGAACCCTCAACAGTCTGCAGAATCCCCTCACTGATTACACTGTAAATGATAATCTACCTTAACCAAAATCAAAATAGACTATCACTCACCCAATTGATCATCACTTCTCTTCATGACCGTAAGATCCATAATGGCACACAAACTTTCCACAAGTTTGCTACACAGGGTGGCTTTGGCCACACCATTGTCACACAGGCACAGTCATTATCGCTGTGTATCTAGACTGAAAGTTGCCCCAAGTACAGCTCTAATTATCGCTGTATGTGGGCCAACCTTTCAGTTTAGATCCTCTCCTGCTGCTACACTAACAAAAGGACCATGCCACATGCACTCCTCCTCCCTCCATGCCGGGATACCGACTGTGTTTGCTGGCAGGTCAGTGTAAGTCTGTGTTTGCTGGCAGACAAGTACAAGTCTGGATTATCATATTTACACATTGGACACTGGAGGTCCCCCGGTCCCTCCGATGAAATTTCAGATGAGCCCAGGTGGGACCAGAAGCCAAGCCACGACACAGACGCTATAGCCCTAATGGTCTGATTGATGGATTGATTGATAGATTGATTGATTGATTGATTGATTGATTGGTTGATTGACTGATTGGTTGATTGGTTGATTGGTTGATTGGTTGATTGGTTGATTGGTTGACTGATGGATTGATGGATTGATTGATTGACTGGTAGATTGATTGATTGACTGGTAGATTGATTGATTGACTGGTTGATTGATTGATTGATTGATTGATTGATTGATTGATTGATTGACTGGCAGATGGATTGATTGATTGATTGATTGATTGATTGACTGGCTGTTTGATTGATTGATTGACTGGTAGATGGATGGATTGATTGGTCTCTCTCTCTCTCTCTCTCTCTCTCTCTCTCTCTCTCTCTCTCTCTCTCTCTCTCTCCGTATTTGTGTGTGGGTGGGTGGGTGGGCGGATGTGTTCTAACCAGATGTTTTTCTTCAACCATAGGGTATTCGAAAGCAAAAGCAGATTAACACGATGATTAACAGCCAAACGACGATTAGCACGACTATTAGCCAAACGCTCTGTGCCCTGGTTTCCCGTGCTAATCATCGTGGTCTTCCCTAACTCCTCTCCCCCTCCATCCCACGCCTTCCTGCACCCTCCCAGAAACTTTGCTATCCCCTCCTCCTCCCCCCCCCCCC